CGGTACATCGACCGCATTGCTGCAGAAGCTGCACCGATCCGCCTGTCAATCTCCCGTTCCATCCTTCGCTCACTCGTGAACAAGACCCCAAGATACTTGAACTCCTCCACTTGAGGCAGGAACTCTCCACCGACCTGAAGGGAACAAGCCACCCTTTTCCGACTGAGAACCATGGCCTCGGATTTGGAGGTGCTGATTCTCATCCCAGCTGCTTCACACTCGGCTGCAAACCGCCCCAGTGCATGCTGGAGGTCCTGGTTTGATGGGGCCAACAGGACAACGTCATCTGCAAAAAGCAGAGACGAGATCCTGTGGTCCCCAACCTGGACTCCCTCCGGCCCGTGGCTCCACCTAGAAATTCTGTCCATAAAAAAAATGAACAGAACCGGTGAGAAAGGGCAGCCCTGCCGGAGTCCAACATGCACTGGAAACAAGTCTAACTTACTGTCTGCAATGTGAACCAAGCTCCTGCTCCGGTCATACAGGGACCGGATGGGCCTTAGCAAAGGGCCCCGGACCCCGTACTCCCGGAGCACCCCCCACAGGGCGTGCGAGGGACACGGTTGAATGCCTTCTCCAGATCCACGAAACACATGTGGACTGGTTGGGCAAACTCCCATGAACCCTCCGCCACCCTGAAGAGGGTATAGAGCTGGTCCAGTGTTCCGCAGCCAGGACGAAAACCGCATTGTTCCCTGAGTGGAAAAAATGTTAATTAAAACATGACTGGCAATTTATCATTAATAAATATTTAGCAATTACACAGGGGTTTTACAATGTTTAATCCTGCACTGGCAAGGCTGTGTAGCATTTTAAATAGTGATAATGGAAACATTAAATGACAAGTAAACAAATGAAAGTCAGTTTTAGGGTGATTTGGATCATGCAGGTGCAGTATTTACTGTATATAACACTATAAAGGTGCACAAATACCATTCGGTGTTCTGTATTGGCTTGGGAAGACATTTACCTGTTTTTCAAATAAAATTAATTTTGTGTGTCAATTTACAAATAATTAGGTTGAATAATTCATGAGGTTTGGTCAAACAGTTTCAAGATGATTTACCAATGCTGTGTCTTGTACTAATGGGGTGGTCAGACAGGGATGATTAAACCAGTCACAAAAGTGTAACTGATTGCAATGCAGAAATCTAAAGGAAACGTGCCGCACCGACATCAAATCAGCAACAGGCAGCACCATAACAAACTGTCAAGAAAACTTAACTTTATACAAGTGTTTTGGCATCCACAACTCAGTAGCTTAATAGCACTGTGTTGGTTCATGAAATGCATGCACTGCAGTGTGCGCTATTCTAATAGGTCGGTCAGACTAGAAAGTGACTATTAAACACCTGCAATAAAAGGGGTAAGCATGACTAAATTGTTGCTGTATCTGTGTATGTTTGTGTGTTAGTTCATCTCTAGTGGAGCTGGAGAGAGGGATCAAAGGTTTAGTGGTGATGTCACCCAACTTGGAGGAGACCTTCAACTCCATCTATGATGCCCAAGTGCCACTACTGTGGGAGAAGGTGCCAGATACACACCCAGATCACCCACAATAATCCATACAGTTTTCTCCAACACAAGTTGTTCTGAGGATACAGACATGAATTAAAGACAAATATGCTTTGTTGCCTTCATTTATTATCACTATTTCCTGTTTATCTTTTCTTCTCTACTTGAGACACTTAAAAGATACTGCTCATTTCTTATAGTGTATAGACACAAACACATACACACACCATATGAGTGTTGCAGGTGGGACCCACTGAAGTGAGAAATCAGACTGTGCCTGTTATCATCATAAGGTGGGCAGACACAACAGAAAGAAGGCCTGCTGCTAGGATAATAATACAGATGACTGATCTTTGGAGAATCAAGTGGACTTAATGATTTGCCAGAGGTATCACTCCCTGTGTGCCCACCTCACTGCACTTTTCAATATTTTAAGTCTGAGTTTAAAGTACAGCCAGATATTTGGCTCAAGAAACAGAAGTTTCAAATACAGTCCTCTTTCATTGTGCTATGGAAACAGGCAGCTGGTAGTAAAAAAACAAACAGCGTTCCATATATTACACTGTGGTGAATCCAGACTATGAGCCAGAACATTTAGGCTGAGTGATTTTAGAGTCAAGATTTATGCAGTAATATTTCAATCTTGCCAGTGAAGAAAGCTGACAAAAGTTAAGTATCAAATGGTTTATTACGGTATTTACACAATGTATTAAAGCTCAGAGATCCTTAATGCTTATTACTACATTATGTATTGTTAATTAATGTTCCCTTATTGTAAAGTGTTACCCTTAAACGTCTTTATACCAGATGATTACAGTCAGTAAAACCAGCTCAGAGATTCCTTGCCACTAACAGCCAGACAGATGTGGCCTAGCAAACTGTGGTGAATTATGGGATACACTGAGCTACTGAATGATGCGATGTCAGTGTTCATTGAGACGGGGGGTTAGGTGAACTGTTATTCTGACCTGACCACTACCTACAATACCACTGTGTACATTGCGTGCTTCAGACCACAAGTGCTGGGCATACCATTTGTCTTATTGAACACATACAATAAGCACTTTTAGAGATACTGGAAAATGTTCAGTAAAGCTATTCTCCTCCAAGTCTGGTCAGGAAACTGTCGAACTGCTCCTTTAACTACATAACTTAGTTAACCTATTAACATTAAATGACAAAATTTTTTCTTAGATTTTAATACAAAACCATTGCATGGCTGCCAGCTGGTGTGTTATATACAATACAGGAGGAAATAAAAAGTCCAATAATTCCATGATGCAGAAACCTTTACACAGCATTACAATGGAGTTGCAGACCAGCCTCTTGATTCAACAGGAAATATTATAAAAATACAAATCCATCTGTTTCACAGTCAGGGAGGGAGCAGATGTGAGGTCAGCTGTGAGAAATCAAACATCTGTTGATCTGTTGCCTTTCTTTTCTCTGAAAGAAGAACAAACAGAATAAGAAGAGTGCAGAGTCACTGTGAGGGTGTGATGTTGTTGTGAAAATCTCAAACTGAATGTCATTCAAATTTTACTGATCCATAATACAGTACAGGCTATGTTCATAATACAGTACAGGCTATGTTGAACCCCTACTACATCTTGTGTGCCTGTGCACTGTAAGCTGCTGGTTACTGCTACTTCTGTTCTGATCGTGGTCTCACACCATGATGGTTTGTTTTCTAAGTTCTAGTTGTATCTTCTGTGATAAGACCTTGGTCCTGAGGTACAGTACTGCTGACTTACTGGAGCTCTGACTTCAGCTGGTTCAGTTTGTCTTGCAGGCGATCATTCTTCACGTTAATGGGATTGTCAGGGATGAACCAGGCTGCTATAAACTTACACACCACCACAACATGCTGCAGAGACACACACAAGCGAACTACTTAACTGGCTTCATCAATCCAAATGAACAACAATGCCTCACCTGATATCTGTAATACAAACCTCAAACAGGATTACGAAGGCAAAGCGCACAGCTAGGACCAACCAGAACTGAGAAGTCAGACTGTGGTCTTCACTGTTCCTGTAGTCTCTGTAGCTGCACATACCAGACATTGTGTCCTGTTTATGAAATCTGTGAATGACTACGTTATATGCTTGAACCAGGCAGGAGAAGTCATCTCACCTGCACGATGTGACATTGAAGCCATAACCTGTGTCCATCTGATCAGGAGAAAAGTCACCTTTAACTTGCTGGTGACTCAGAAAGGCCGTGGACAGAGTGTCATTAATGTAGCCCTCCATGCAGCTGAAACAATGGCACAGAACACAATTGATGAGACATGACACAGAAACCACACTGCTGATGCCTTATCAGGTGTTTGTACAAGCTTGAACATGACTCACTGTGTGCGAGTGGTTCCATTAACGCACGGGCCGAAACGGTAACGATAGACGAGGCGTGGGACAAAATCTGATGTCACTCCAATGACCAGACCGTTAGTGATCACTGCCAACACACCGATTACCTCCAACACCTGAATCCACACACCTGCAGAGAAAAGACAGTGGTGTTAGACGAAGATGAGAGCAGCTGTTATAAACATTCAGTTGCTCTAAGTCCTAACCATGAGTCATGAAGCTGAAGTAGGGCAAGTTAACAGTCAGGGGTGGCCGGTGGAGCTGTAAGTCAAACTGAGCCTATATACTTTGGACATACGTCAAACCTTCATGGTAACAGCATCCTCTGGTCAAAACATCTATTAACATACCATAACATAACCAGTGGCAGTCATACAAACATGTTATACATCAAACATGGTCAAGATTGGATTGAATTTGGTCCAAACACAGTTCAGAAGTTCTGCACCAGACCAGTGCTTTATAATGGCCACATGGTGGCTTGATAAAACCTAAAAAGCAAACATCTTGGTAACTTAGTTTTTGATTTTTGAGATGTCCTGCTGACTACAGACAAACTGCAACAAGCACTCTTTATTATCTCCAAACTCAAAAACACAGTGGAACTGAAAGGGACCCAGTTAAATGTTGAGCACAGACATTCACAGAATGTGTGAAACACTGCCTGATAGGTCACTGCAGCACTGACTGACATGCTGAATGTTTCCTGTGCAGTGATCATACACCGATTGATTCTTCTGTGAGATTTCCTTTTACTTTTGGCTCTGACATTTGACAGCTGAAGTTCTCATGCATTACTGAAATGATTCAGTGACATCATTAGTCCACGTAGAAAGCTTTGGCTGACAACTCACCAATGTGGTTGGTCTTCCTGGGAACCAGCCGCCGTTCCAAGTGGACCATCTTTATAGCATCCAGGCGAATCTCAAAGATGTTGTTGATGAGAGCCATCAGAGGGGCGAGGGGGAACGCTGCCACAAATATGGTGGTGAAACTGAACTGGATCACTAGAGTGCACAGACCCTCAGTCAGTAACATGGAAATCTTTTGTCTGTTAAACAATTTCACTAAAGATTTAATATTTTATTCTTAGTGTTACTGCATGACAAAAAATTGGCTTACTGGTTAATGATGACTATTGGCTACATTTGAAATGTAGCATTGAAATGTTTTCAGTTACAAGGTTGTTTAATAAATCTGACACTAATGGTGGAGCACAGTGCTGTTTGCACTGGTCAGAGGGTACGTGACCAAAAAAATATTTAAAGTGGTACATTACTGAAAAACATTTGAGAACCATTGTGCTGTACTGATCAGCCACAACATTAAAACCACTAGCAGGTGAAGTGAATAACAGATTACCTGGTTACAACGGCATCTGACCAACGGTGGGATATATTTGGCAGCAACTGAACAGTCAGTACTTGAAGTTGATGTGTTGGAAGCAGGAAAAATGAGTAAGCATATGGAAAGTGAAAGCGCCTACAGTGGGCATGCGAGCATCAGACCTGGACCACAGAGCAATGGAAGAAGGTGGCCCAGTCTGATGAATCATGTTTTCTTTTACAGCAGGTGGAGGGCCAGACGTGTGTGTGGGAAGGAGATGCCATGAGGATGCACTATGGGAAAAAGGCAAGCCAGTGGAGGCAGTGTGAAGGTCTTAGTAATGTTCTGCTGGGAAACCTTGGGTCTTGTCTTTCATTGACATGTACCACTTACCTAAACATTGTTTCAGACCAAGCATTTCCCTGTTATTCACTGGGTCATACTTTTTTCTTATTTACATTTTTCATTTTGATATACACTCAATAAAAAATAAAACAAAACAATATAATCCTAAGACTACACTGATCCCTGGGGGGGAAATTCACAGGCTTCTCATCAGTATGTAAAATCCTTCAAATTACAAGCATACACAGCAGTTAACAGTAGCCCACCCTGCCACACTACAAAAATGCTTCAGGAATGGCACAGCAACAAGTTCAAGGTGTTGCCTAGGATCTTAATCCCATTGAGCATCTCTGTGCTGTTCTGGAAAGACAAGTCCGATTCACAGAAGTCCCACCTCGCAACTTACAGGACTTAAAGGATAATGTCTGTCATGTTCTATATTAAGAGTATTGTCAACAATCCCCATACTGAGACTAAAGCCTACAATGAATTGCCTCTATTCATATTTGTCTGTCAGTCTGGGATCTCCTGCTAATGTCTTGGTGTTACAGTAGGTACCAGAGGACACCTTCAGAGGTCTTGTGGAGTCCATGCTTGACAGGTCAGAGCTGTTTTAGCAGCAACAGGGGGACCTGCTTGATATTATGCAGGTGGTTTTAATGTTGTAGCTGACTGGTGTACCTAAACATACCGAGGGAGAGTGCAGACCTACCCATCTCCAGGAACTCGTTGAAAAGGCTGAAAGCATCTGTGTTGACCAGGTGGTAGTTACGCATCCAGTCCTGAAGTTTGCAGGTGTCACATGGTTCAACACGTCCCTGTTCATCACGACAGGACTTCCTGTAACAGCGATTACACTTCCTCTCCAGCTTCCTTGCAGCGCGTTTGCCCAGACAGTTCTTCAACCAGCTGGAATACCCATGAATGAAAAGTCCGATATGTTCACACTTTGAGATAGATCTGATGAGCTCCAAGCTGGTGCTATCTGGCTCTAATGCATTACCAGCTGCTGCCTTGCAAAGATGTTAAATGAAAATGGCACACTCACGGCACAGTGAACTCAACAATGTTGTTGAGAATCTGTTTGAGCAGCATGATCACAGCCATCTGGATGAAGAGGTCTGTCATACAACCACTAGGATGGCACTACAAGACACAGCGAACATATCTGAGGGGTAGTACTATGGAGCAGTTATCCTGAATGAATGACTTACCACCGATTAAACCTCATTCTCACCTCCTCCAGTCTCCAACGAAATATACGCACATAGTTTCCTGGATGGCCGTTTATCCTGCAAGAAAAGAACATCCATTTTCATTTTAATTTGTACCTTCTTTAAAAACAAATTATGAACAAACTTAAGAAAAATATTAAGATATTGGTGAGTGAGGCTCACTGAACTGCAGCTATCCTAGCTACCTATTAAATTATTATAATCTTCCTGTCAGGACTTTGGACTCATTTGGTAAGTCCAACAACTTTCTGCGACCTCAGCATACATTATTTTGTCATTTATAAACTTACTGTATTACTTTCAAATATTCTGAAGGCAAGTTCCCATTACAACAACAACAACAAAAAAAATAAATAAAAAGGGGCTTTTGCACGTGCGTGGCCATTGCGTATGTGGTGCACTGCACATGTTGTGCACACACGTTCACAGTGTGCAGCGTGGAGCACCAAAAGTTTTTAGTTTGTTGAGCTTTGCGATGACCCTAGCGTACAGCCAATCACCGTTTCACCCTGGCTTTGCCTATACTCATAAAACCTCAGTGTGTAACCAACATTTCTGAATCTTCCCAAACTGTTCACTGGAGGAGCAAAACAACACACTGGAAATAATATTCATCCTACTTTAACATTCCAAAAATATCAGCTGAATAATTGGCTGACTTTTCTGCAGAAGGCGAAATTGTTGTTACACTGTTGCAAGAGAATCTTAGGGGGTCACAGAAAACAGTGCAACAACAGCAGAACATGACGTGACAGACAGAATGGACTATGACATAACACCGGCAGAATCTCTAGTCTTTGGTTTAGCTATTTGCCGCAGAATGAGTACTTTTAGTACTTTAAGCAGTTTTGATGGTAATACGTTTGTACTTTGTAATTTGAATTTTAAAGGACTTTTACTTGTAACAGAGTATTTTTACACTGTGGTATTGCTACTTTTACTTAAGTAAACCATCTGAGTACTTCTTGCACCGCTGCTGTTTTGGCAGCTCTCCATCATGTTGGGGGATTGCCCAAGTACACCCCTTCATGCCAAGGAGGAAGTCAGAGTACCCAGAGAAAACCCGCAAAGACACGGGGAGAACATACACACAAACTGCAAGTTTCTTGCTGTGAGGCAAAGGTGATAACCACTGCACCACCAAGTCATTTTACCTATCAGACCAATGTTTTAATGCCTTAGTTCACCTCCTGTGATATGAAAACATTCATTTCTACAGTCAGAGAAAATAAAAGTGTCTGTCCTGGTCAGATCTCTGTGATGAAGTCCAATATAAAAACTGACAAAACAAGAACTGACTTGAGGTCTTTTTGACTCATCAACTTTTAGCAGTCAGCCCGACATGTGACTTTATCACAGTGTAAAAATTTTAACACAGTATCAGTGTCTTTTATTAATGTTCATGGGTTAATGTGACCTTTCCAGAAAAGGTGTCAGAAAACACAGACTGACAGTTACAGAGTACCTGCCCAGGAAGAAGGCCACATAAAAGAGTGAGGAGAAGAGGGTGAAGAACTGGAAGGTGAACATCTTGACTGTGAAACTCCTCTCTCTGGCAGCATGGGAGTTTGTCTTCTCTGAATACACACCCCACACCGACATACAGAGAAAGCACATAGAAAAATGACATGAATGTAAGTGGTGAGATATTTAACCAAATGTCTTATTTGACTTGGTCTAGAGATCCATAAGTCAGAACTGTATTAATTAGACTTTACTGTCTTGATTTATAGCAAAACCACCAGCATTTCCAGTGTATTTCTATGTTTCTGTATTGCACTGTATACTTGCTAGTATGGTATAGCATAGGGAATAAAGCATTCAACTTGCTTCTCACCTATATCACACAGCTTGAGGGAAACCCAGCTGTTTACCTGCAAATGGATATGAAGAAAAGATACACAAAGAGATGAAAGGTTTTATACTTATTACATCAGTAGTAGGTAAGAGGACTGGCACATATAACAGCTGCTTTTAAGGTGCTTTCTTTTTTTGACATCCACATTGCAACCTGCCAAATCTCAGGTCTGTCTCCTCCATTTATACATCACTGTGTCATGAGTCCTAACCTAATTCATGTTGAAGTCATAGGACAACCTGCTGTTGTGACCTTTTACAGTCAGGTTATTTCCCATTGCCACTTCTGGACCCACAGAAGAAAGAGATAGCTGACACTAGGTACACTGACTCCTTTCTAGAATGTGGGATGAACACAACACTGACTGTGCAGGAGCTGCTGAAGACTGAGAATCTGTTGAAATAACAAATTAAAAACTAAAGTCTAGTGGGAGTTGGTGCTAGGGATACCAAGCTAGACTAACAAGTTTCCACTCTGTGAGTAAAACAAGCAAAGCAGCTGGATGAGTGCTCCTGTTGTAAAGAGAGTGATGTCTTAAATGACTAACAGTACAGAACCAAACCTGTGTGTGGTTGTGGAAAAGGGGTAAGATGTCTGGTATCAGTGTTCACAGGATAGGATATGAGTTGACAAAACATACCCGGGTCATGACCTGAATGGTGACATAGTGCAGCACAGCTCCCAGCATCATAGCCACTGTGCTGGCGTTTTCTCTCATAAACTCCCAGCTGACCATAGACAGGAAGGGGGCGATCACCACTCGAAACACCACCACAGCATGAGCGATACCAATGATCACCATCAGCTGAAACAGACGCATGTTTATCTTTTCCTCTTTTGTTAGCTTTTTCCTCTTTTCTGTGAAGTTGCAACCTGATTTGAAGCTTTTGAAAATATGTATTTTACAATAAAGTGTAGCCATAAATGTTTAACTAGCAATTACAACAGTAATAACATTAAACTGATCGTTTGGTTATGATGCAGTTTCTTTTTGGCATTACAGGTATGTGCCAAAAAATTAGAATATCGAGGGAAAGTCCATTTATTTCAATAATTTGTTTCAAAAAGTGAAACTTGTATGTTATATTAGTTCACTACACACAAAGTGAAATATTTCAAGCCTTTATTTGTTTCAATTTTGATGATTATGGATTAAAGACAAAAAAAAACCAAATCCAGTATTCCACAAAATTTGAATATCATGACAAAGTTCAACATTGTAGGCTCCCTGTGTCCCAATCTAGTCAGCTGATTAATGCAAAACACCTGCAAAGGTTTCCTCAGCCTTGAAATTGTCTCAGTCTGGCTTAGTAGGTTTCAGAATCATGGGGAAGACTGCTGACTTGACAGTTGTGCAGACGACCATCACTGACACCCTCCATAAGGAGGAAAAGTCTCAAAAGGCAATTGCAAAAGAAGCTGGATGCTCACAGAGCGCAGTATCAAAGTATATTAACAGAGTGTTAAGAAGAAGGGAAGAATGTGGCCAGAAAAGGTGCAAAAGTGACAGGGATGACCGCAGCCTTGAGAGGATTGTCAAGCAAGGGCGATTCAGAAATCTGGGGGAGCTTCATAAGGAGTGGACTGAGGCTGGTGTCAGTGCATCAAGA